AGGAATCCAAATATTTCTTATGGCACGCAACACAGTTACTTGGAAAAAATGTTGACGATGAGTTCAGGAGGAAATTGGATGCAAATGACGCAATTTATCGTTACATAAATTATTACCAGATCGAAAGATGTAACAGTGAAACTGAACAATTGAAAAAAATTAGGAAAACCCTGAAAGCCTCAGCATCGGCTGTAGAACATCTTGGGAACGATGATTGCAAGCAGCTAGCAATAATCCCTCTACTGACAGAGTATTTCAAGGAAGATACCGATCTGTTATACTTGGTGATGGACGTGAGTATTCTCCTCAGATTAAAATAGGAATTTCTGAAATTACTGCATAAATTATATGAAAATTGATTTTTTATTTACAGAGTGCAACTGCATTGAAGGACATGGAAGCAGCACTGTCCGCCACAACTCCAACACTGATTGTCCTGGGCAGATCACTATATGATCGTGCAGCTAGCTGCAAAATATTCATTGAGAAGAAGGCATGTGTTGACGTCGATAACGTTCTCCAAGGTTTTTTGGTTGTTTTCCTGGCGTACTTTGTTTTTGGATTGAAATACCCCAAACAATTGAAAAGTACCCTTGAGTTTATCCAACGGTGAGTTTTATCCCATAATCCTATGACAAATAACTCCACGTTCCATTCATTTCACTTACTATCGATTCAGGACATTTTCACTTCGTTACTTCATTTTTCCCTGTCAGACTTGTTTTGATGTCTTAATTAAATTCTCAAGAGCTCAGTTGCTCATTTCAATCCTGTGCTAATATAACAGACTTTTTCCATAATAAATTATTTAATTTTTCAGTGTGTTTCTGGACATCAATCCGGAGAAAGGGAGGAAACAGGTGGAAGGACCAGGACGTCAAAGGACATTAATAGACAGCAAGTGCAATACACTTTCTGAAAATCTGGCGACTTTTCGCGAGAAAGATGTTGGAATTTGAATTAAACTTTGTGCAAGCATCACGACCTCTCAACAATTCATAATTGTTCTTCCAATATTATAAACGAATACGTAGAATCAAAATAATTGTAATCGTAGTTTTTGAGATAGTCAGAGCTTGATGATGAATGTATTTGTCATTGCAGAATAACATGAGATATAATTCAAAATAATATAATTCTGAGGTCAACTGCATGTTAAACGACTGATTTGTGTAACTTTTACATTTGACATTTTCGTTTATTCCGTTTCAGGAAATTTTTCAAATATATATTTTGTAACTATTTATCTATACTGTAACTGCCATTATTCGTATCTCAAAATGTATAAAAAAAATATAATAAAAAAAATATCTGTAAACGATTCTTTTCATTACTTAATTTGGACCTTAAGAT